CCGGAAAGCCACCCACTTCCCCACTTCCCTGCTGCTACAGCCAAACCCCCCTGAAAGTACATCAGAAATTGAACTTTGCAATCATACAGACAAGACCACATCGAATAAAATCAGGAAAAAAAAACCCAAAATTCACGACTCTCCGTCCACCAAATTTTTTGTGAGGTATTGTCCTTTTCCTTGCTATAAGCCTCTTAAGAGCGTCAAGCTTTCTATTTCTTCCTAAAGTTGTTGTCGCTAATACCCTTTTTTGTTGTACTGAAGGGAGGAAAACCATAAAAAACTGGTGTTTTATTCTAAAATATATTTAGTTTTTCATCCGATAAATAAATTTATTTATGAAAAAATGGATACTCTGTTCTTATAATAGATGAAAACTATAAAGAGCTTGTGTTTTATTCAAAAACAGGTTCATTTTTATATTATTCGATAAATAATATTTTTTATCGAATAATGGGTACTATATTCTTATAATGGAGGAAAGTCATAAAGAACTGGTTTTTTATTGAAAAAACATTTTTATTTTTATTTTATGCGATAAACAAATTTGTTTATGGCAAAATGGATACTCTTTTCTTATAAGGGAGGGAAGCCATAAAGAGCTGATGTTTTATTGAGAAACGGGTTCATTTTTTTGTTGTCGATAAATAAATTTGTTTATGGTAAAATGGGTTCACGGTTCTTATAATACAGGAAAGGTATAAAGAGTTAGGATTTTATTGAAAAATGGGTTTATTTTTATTGAAAAAAATCCGCTTTATATAGTTCGTTGTGACAACGAGGCTTATCCCCACTTTTGTTTGAGTTTTGATTACACTGGATATAACCTATTCCCTCCAAACCCCAAATTTTGAATTATAACATTCAACCAAAACATGCTCAAACTCTCAGGCTCGTCATACAAGGACAACTAGTGTGAATATCCGTGCTACGCACGGTACTTACATTATTAAAATGAATTAAACGGTTATACCATTTTTATTTGAAAAAAGTTAAAAAACTTCACCAACATAATTAAAATTTAAGATTTGTCTAACAATAGTTCAAAATATGACAAAAACTGTAAATCATTCAAGAATTGTGTTTTTGCAAAAGAAGGATCTTAAAATAATAATAATAATTTATATTAGAAAATGAATGATATATGGATAGAAATAAATGTAATTGCATGTTTTTTTATTTTAAAATGAAATACTTACCAGTAGTATGCATTCGATTTGATAATCTTATATATATATGCATTATGAGAATATATATATGTATGTATATATGTGTGTGCGTGTGAATTAACTACCTTTGAATTAATTTTTATTTAAAAAAAGAATTATTTTTAATGCCTTTATAATTTGTGAATGATTGTGAGAGTAAAATATATTATGACAATAAGATACGTTGAATTGTGAAAATTGTAATTTAAACAGGCTCCTATATTTTGGATATTTGACTTTCGTAGTTGCGAATTTCTTAAATTAACGGTTAGTTATTACTCTAAGTGATATGGTAAGTGTCAGTAATAAATGTGAGATGTGAATTGGAATTTGCAGATATCATTTTACAGGGGTGGTTATTATCCGTTAGTTAAAGTTTAGGAGTTTGAATTTTATGGGGTAGTGGAAAAAACATAAGGGAAATGTGGAAAAAATATAAGTATGATTATAGGATTTGTAGGGCCGGTTACATGATTAGTTAAGAGATAAATATTTTTTAATTAAAAAATTGCAAAATTCTATTCAAATAGCATTCACACTTTTGATAATTTTTGAAGCTCCTTATCCAAAACCCCCTCAGCAATACATTTAGATATAGATACTAAACGATAGTTATGATAGCGAAATAGTTTTTACCTGATATAACACGTTGTTGCACTTTTAGCGATCATTTGATTTATTGTTGAACATATTCGCCTAAATAAAATAACACCTAAAATTATGGAAGTAAGTTTCCTATCTAAAATAGTAAGTTAAGTGTAATAGATTAGTAACTTTTATACCTCAAAAGGTAAATTGGAATAAATATTAAACTTAATTTTTAAATAAATAGATTACTACTTGATATCCCAAACTTACATTTAAAAGAGTAAGTTTAATTCAAATAACAGTAAGTTTTTATACATAAATAGTAATTCTGGAATGCATGTACAATTTTTACATTAAAACCTTATCTCAAAGTAGTATTACGAAGTTTATTTCAAATAATGATAAGATGTTTTTATTAATGATTAAAACTTAGTACCTTAGTTAGTAAGCACTCATAATATACCTTAGTAACTTTAATTCAAGTAGTAGTAAGTTTTTATACATAAATAGTAATTATTACTGATAACAAGGCAAATTTGATTAATAATCAAGATTTTGTACCACAAAATCTACCTATTATATAACAACAGAGTGGAGTTACTATAGCAACTCCAATGATTGCCAAGTGGATCTCTTTTTCTTTGACACGTGGTCCATTCCTTTTGTTTTCTTCATTTTGCTTAGTTTTTTCTTTTGTTCGCTTTATTTCCTTTATCTTTTTTGATTGCAGATAAAGGTAATTAAACAAATCCTCACGTGAACTACATGTTTCTTATATACTTTCTACTTTGTACTCCGTTTTTTCCCCTATCATCCTAATCATTTGAACTTGTTTTTTCTCTATTGTATTAGTTCATGCACTTTCTTTCATTTTCCCCCATAAATAACTAAATGAATGAGTTCATTTAAGGAGATCAAGAATGGGTTTGAAATTTCCTTTCGTCCGTAGTCCAAAAATTATGATTCATAATCTTCTACGTTTAATGTCTCTTTTTGGTATATACTATTTCATATTTTTTTGTCATTTTTTCCGTCTTGATGACCAACCTTTGCTTATTGGTTTTGTCACCTATTTCTTCTTCATCTAACTTTCTTTTCTGCCCGGACGGACGTATGTGATGCTGTGAATATTTTCCCCAAATCTAAAGAAACTTTTTTTTAGTTTTTCATTTTTTATTTATGGCCACACTACATTTTCATATTTTTATTTTTGGAAAAAGTAAACTAAGGTTGACAACACGACGAGTGGTGATTACATGAAAAATTTTTACGCTAACAATGAAAGAATTGTTAGAGGTATCAAAAAGAGTGATTTGGGCAGATTCATTCTATTTCTAATTTTTTATTATAATTGTTATTTGATAATAGGGTGATAGTACTACAATAGAGGAGAAAAAAATCTAATACATGAAAATCCAAGGTAAACGATCATCACGAAGAAAAAAAGTATGTTTATTCAATTATAAATTAACCCAATCTCTTAATTGATGGATAGATAATTATATTTTAATTTATATAAAGTTTATCAATTGTGAAAAATGCTTACAAACTGGGGTTACTGTGGATGACGTGTAAAATATTTGTTGGGGCTAGCAATTTAGAATGTGAAGATAATATTTTATATGTCTTCATTCAACATTTTGAATTACTTGCTTGTATCCATGATAGGTAGTTTATTTTCATGGTTTTAATTTTAGCAAATGATAGCTTGGAAATAAAAAAATTGCAAAATTAGACTTCAGAATCTTTAACTTATGTATTTGGTTCTATATGACTTACTTTTATCCTTTTTTATTGCCCATAATGATAGATAATGTAATTAGAGTTTGAGATGATTGTTAGGCAACTTCAAATGGACATGTCATTACTATTTGGCTAAAGAAGTTAATAATATTTTGTTGATTTGACTAGCTAAAACAGTTGCAGTTTTCAAAGGAATGCATTTGGTGGTGGAAGTTAGTATTGAGGCTTTTAGCTTAGAGTGTCACTATACAAAATATTATTAGAAAATTCTATTTTCATTAAGAAGACATAATTGCAATCAAACAAATTGTTGAATTTGAATTTGCATATGTAGATTTACAAATATGGCAATTCATGTTTTTATTTAAACTTGCTATACATATTCTATAACTATTTGGTTAGATAATGTTTTCATCTATTTGTAATGCTATTAGACATGATTTAAATGGATAGATTAACTCGCTATTTCTCTCAAAAAAGAAAGAAAAATATGCAAGTTTGTATTTTTTTGATTGATGTTGAAGCTGGTCACAGGTTTTTGTGCCTTTCTATATTTTTTCTAATTATTAAAATTTCTGAAACATTATGACTACTGTTTATTTAATTACAATTAAAACTATGCTGCTCTTAAACCGATCATGCACTCATAATGGATTTGCTTTGTTTTCTTTTTTGGTATCATTACGTACACATAATGTTGGTTACAAATCCTTTTTCCAAATCACAATAAATTGGGGTTAACTTTATATATCAAAGTTCTTTTCACAGCAAATTTTAATTGTTTTTATACTTAATATTTTTCCTATATTTCTATTCATTGTGCACTAAAACTGCCGGTGGTATGTATTTAACTAATGTTCTAGAGGGCCGTGCCTGTGCGTTGCACAGCCCGTGTCAACATAGTGTCATTGCAGTTCTGGCAACCCGTATTCGTTTATCGTCCGGACCATCCGTAATATTACGGGTGCTTTTCAATTTTAGCTGTTAATGTCTTGGGGTTGCGGTTTCTGTTTATAAATTCAAATTATTTCATGGCAATCTGATCCAAATTTCCCACTCGCTATAATGAAACGTTCGGAGACATTTCATTGCTTACGACGCGCAGGTTGGCCACAATACTGTTTCCTTAGTCGTCCAAGTAAAACTGAGAAGGGTATGTATGTCAAGGCCAATGAAATCATGCATAGCACACGCGCCGACCGTCACTGTAACACATTTTTCCCAATTTGCAACCCTAATTACCAGGTACAAGCCCATTGCACGCCCAACCTGGCGACAGCCGTCCAAAATGTCTAACAATTCAAATTTCTCGCGAAGAAAGACGCCTACGCACCTACAAGGCCGCAACACTTAACGGCAAAGCTGTTCATAATCGCGGGTGGGGCGACAGGGATTTTGTGATAACTAGAGCTGCGCCATCACAATATTCGGAATAAAATCCAACTCCAAAAAAGCCGTGCGATGGGCAGGCTCCATCGGTACCGGCCACCGCCTGATGAAGAACACTCGCAAGAACTGCTGGTTGATCGGAAAACCCACATATCACACTTTTCCTTGCACAGGGGGTACATGTTGCAGAATCAATGTCGACAATTACTTGTGCTTATTTTGCCCTAAGCCCTCATTTGGTTTATACTTATATATAACTGCCTGAATTGGTTCTACATTAATGCACAGGAAGTCTATTCAATTTATCCTAGAGGGTCGTCAGTCGAAGTTATGGAGTGGTGGAAGAGGCTGCCTCGTAAGGTGGCCGCGAAAGTTGTTACTGCTGGGTTTGGGGATTTTCTGAGCCACTTGCCCGTGGCCGATAGAGATAGGAAGTTGCCTGTCGCACTTGCGGAGCGATGGTGGGACTCAACAAACTCGTTCCACTTGCCTTTCGGAGAGATGACACTGACACCCTTGGACTTCACCTGTATAACCGGTGTTGCAGTGGGCGGGTTGCCCATTCCGTGGGATTACAATGTTAGGGAAAATGCCAATTACATCAACGACCAATTGGGTTGGGTGCCAGCTTTTGCTTCTGCCGGTGCCATCAGAGTTACCGATATATTGTCATTCTACAAAGACAAAGCCATTGACGAGAACGACGACGTCCAGCTGGCACATCTAACTAGAGCTTTCTTTCTCTACATGCTTGGCCGCACTTTACTTAGCAACACGGCCGAAACAATTCACCTGTGCTGTCTGCCTGCGCTGGAGGACGTAGATCGTATAGGGGATTATAACTGGGGAGGGGCGGGGATGGCAACCTTGTACAGATTTATGTCCGCCGTCTCCCGACGCCGGACGAAAAGCCTTGGCGGCTACAGCTTCGTTTGGGAGGTAAGTCCACAATTGCCTTCACTCTGTGTCAATTCGACATTACCCTGTTCCGTTAAATAAACTTTTCAGGCAGTTAGTGTTCATCTCCAACGCTGGATATAATTTGTACAACCACGTGTAGGTGTGGGCTTATGAAATTCTTCAGTTAAGTCCGTATAAACTGAAACAGGACGAGAGGGACGTATTGCCCAGAATGTGGCGATGGCGCTCGTGTAATAGAGCCAGCCGACAATCACCGTCTACGGTCGAACATTTTTCGCCGCGCAATTGACACCATTAACCCGGACAACGTTAGTTCCCGTACTTACGACATCTTACATTTTCTACCGCCTACGTGTTAACAGTTGTTATGAATTTGTTCCGCCTGTTCAACAAACCAATGTTACATCGCTTGTTAATTGTGTGTCCTAGGTCAACTGGCTACCCTTCCCTGCAATGGCATTGCCTAGTCGGTATCTCAAATCCAAGGAACTAACTGCAACGAGATTGCTTTTGGATGGCCCCATGGGACGATTTTACTACCTGGGCGAGAGGGTTATTAGGCAGGTGTATGCAGGTGTATGTGCAAAGCAACCTCCCCATCGGCCATCAGATATGTACAGCGCTGATACAATTTCGGGAAACACGCTACATGATGTGCTTGATGGACTGCCCATTGCAAGCCTATACCCAGATCCCCCTCCATATGCTACGTATGACGAGTTTGTGCGCAGCAGGCTAATGAAACCAATGACTTCCTCCACGTTGCCACCCAGTGGGAAGGAGTGCATAATTCATATATGTGACCAGTTGCCACTAAGTGAGGCTACAACACCGTCACTGAAACATCCAATTAATTACCCTCCCTGGTCTGTGTTGTGCATACAAACTGATGGATCACTGCAGCAGGAGGGCATTCACAGGGTTGGTGGCGATGTAATAGGGTTGCCTCTTCCATGTGCTGTTGGTGATGTGGTATGGCATTCTTCGCCCTGTACTTCACTCGGCATTTAATTTTAGCAATTTGTGTACAATTAATACAGCCATCTGTGTTGTTTCCGCTTAGGTGCCTAGACACTGGTACGAGGACCTGCTTGTTCAGTGCATGGGCCTCAGAAAGAAAGTCTTAGAAAAAAGTGCAGAAATATTTCGTTTGGCATCCAATGTGTCGGACAACTCACAAGTGGTGGACCAAAGGCTACATCAAATACAGGTAATTTTGGAAACTGCATTGAAGCTCCAAAAGGGGGCAGGGAAACGCTGCCTTCGCGGTGGAATTGGTGGCTGGGAATCCTGTCTTTCTAAGCGTCCGAACACAAGTGCCGGGACGGAGACATTTACGGAAGACCTTGGTAGAGGCAAAGCTCACGAATGTCAGGGAATTCATAATGCCTAAGACTGAGCACCCATGGCCCATAACCGCAAACAAGGTTGTGTAGCCGGAGGAATGAGCATGCAAAGTAGTTGGGAGTCCCCAGCAACAAAGCCGAGCTGTGAGCAATCGCCACGTCTGTTGTGTACTTCTAATACAATTTAAAATTTGAACACCCAGCACGGAAAATGTTAACAGTTCACAGATAATTGGTAACGTTGAACTTGTTTCTCTAAATTTGTACCGTTTCACTGCTTCCATAGAAAATTTGTCACCGTCATTTTCCCACAACTAATTTCTAGTCCTGTTCTTATTTTTCGTCTGTCCAAGATTGTTCTTCACCTGCAATTGAAGTTTGCAGTGAAATTAAATATTTACAACAAAATAATTTAAATGCAAGTTGTTGTTACTATAAATCTATCATACTTACTGCATTACATTTTCTGGACTTATTTATATCATGACAGAAAAGCCTTTTGTATGAATGCAACTCCAACATTATATCATGAGTTCAAGTTTCCACACAGTTGTACAGTAATTTGTGTGTTCCAGCTTCCACACAGTTGTACAGTAATTAGTGTGAGGGAGGCTGACGAAGCATTGCTACCTAAGTGGATTGTTCCAACAGGATATACCAATTTTTGTTTAACTATGTCACCAAAAAAGCATCAGAGGTATCAAAGTTGTTCGGATGGAGTGTCAGTAAACATGTGGAATTTTTTCTACATGTTAATAGCAATTTAGATTACGGACATGACGCGGACATTGCATAATTGTTATAATAAGAAATTCATTAATCGTGTGCCAACAAGTTACGTAAAATAGTAAACTCCAATGGAAATGTACAAATGATGTAAAAAATATTAATCGTAACTGATAGTTATTGGCTAATTAAATATATTAGTACAAATGTATTCTTAAACTTATTCGAACTAATTAATAATTTCTATTAGTAGATATGTATAATTATTAGTATAATTCATAATATTAATTATATTGCATAAATTAATATACATATATAATAATACCATTGTCATTGGTGCACTGAAGAGACGCATAAGCATTGTGAGCAATGAAAATAGATGGGGAGAAACAAAAGTTACTGTTCCTACACCAGAATGAAACGATGGGCAAAACAAAAGGCGTTGGGCCTTACGGTCATTGGTTAGGATAGCAAGGAGACGAACAAACGGCCCATATCGTAAAAGCAGTTTATAGCAGCAGCGTAAGGCACCAGTTTACAAAACCTGGCAACTGAAGATGATTCCCAAGTAGCCACTTCGGAAAACGTCTATCCCACGAAGACATTTTGCGCAACATACGCTTCCACTTAATTTCCTATTTACAAAAAAGGACCGTAATACACAATTTGTCAACTACTTACTCTCTCCTATTAACCAAGTGCAGCAGCACTATTTGCTACAACAGTGCTTACGACGCAACCATGACAGTGATGCATCTTGTGATCCTTCTGTGCATGACGCCTTCGGTGGAACTACAGTGACTTACCCATCTAGACCTAGCTAGCAACCTTCAATACTCTTGCACCTCTACTCACCAAAACCTGCCTTATTTATTGCGTAACTGCAAACCGAACCATCACAACAGTTGTGCCTCATCTTTCTCCTGGACTTCTTTGTTGGTCACCTGTGTCCCTTCCACCGCTACCGCATGCTTGTGGTGCAAATGCTTGTCCTCTCCATTCGCCTGAGTCGCTCCACCCCGTACCAATTTCAAATGATTTTTCCACCGATTCATCCAAACAATTTTCCATATGATCATCATGAACTGCTGTGTTGTGCGAATTCTTTTTGTATGGGCATGTTCGTTGGTTGTGGCCTGCCTGCAATCTTCAACCCATATATCACATGTCAAATCATTTGTGACTGCAAGTAACCACGTCAACTAAGCACATTGCTAACATTACACCACTTCAACTTTCTTGCACTGCCAATAACTTTGTATACTTTGTATGCACTTTCAATTATGTGTTTATTTGCTACTGTTGAAAAATACCCACATAATAATTATTACCTTCACTGTCCACTTCATGTATTTTATCAATTAACAAATTGCTTATAACTACGTATGCATTTTCGATAGTACCTGCAATGACCACACTTTCTTTTCTTCTTTGTTTCTGCATGCTTCTGATCACCTTTACACCGGGACACCCTGGGATCTAACAGCCCGAATGTTCTTCTACTTCTATCGTTCATCACTCTTGAATCCATTGCAAATCCGTCTCCCCCATATCCCCTTTCAATCCACTTCTCCTTTAGGTCCACAGAATGCTTGTCAAACATCTGCTGCAGGTCATTAAACGCATCATCCATGTAGGACGCATAGTAACACATACTATTACAGCTCGACTTTAAAGTGCCATATCTGGCCATTTGTGTCAGCTGTTCGTCTGCAACAAATGCTTTCATTCCATTATTAGTACTGTAAACTCCCTTTGTCCACCGCTTTGAAATGCATGCTTCTGGGATCCTGTTCATTCCTTCTACCACCATCACGCGAAACATGTGAGCACAAGGAATCCCCTTTGACTCGAATTTCATGCAAGAGCAGATTAGCTTCTCCATTGACCTATCATAAACCACCCTCCAACTAATTTCGTGTCCACCATATTTCGAGTAATAATATGTACGACTCCCTCCATCCTCGCTCCAGCCCTCAGAAATTAGAAGTCCCTGCCTGTTCAAATGCTTCCTCACCATGAAGAACACATTCCTTGTAAACACCTCCGCTGCGCTCGCCTCTAATTCGGGCAGGATTGTGGTTAAGACTGGTTTTGTGTTTTCGCTTGTGTGAACTGCTTTGCTCTCAGTATGTCGAAGCCATGCTATTGCCAAATCAAAACTTCTAACGAATTCATATAGTCGCATTTTTTCATTCAAGTACTCGTTCAAAAAAGCATTCATTTTCTCACACCTTTGAGTGCTTCTCATACCTGCAAAAAAATTACCGCGTAAATAGGCCTCTGCCCATAACCTTCTCCTACGGTACAACTTCTTCACCCACTCATTCTCTACCACCCCACATTCATTAACTAACCTAGCCCAGCGATCCTCAAACTCAAGAGTGCTAAACTTTCTCGCCATCAGGTCATACAACCTGTTATTAAACTCCTCGCAGCGAATATTACTCCGTGCATTCCTATGCAAGTGCCACGAACATAGCCTGTGACAAGCATCCGGAGAAGATTCTTTATCGCTCTTCGCATTGCACTGTCACCATCTGTCATCACTGCTACTGGCTTTCTACCTTTCATAGCCTCTACAAATGTACTTAGCACCCATTCATATGTTTCAATCCTCTCATCTGATAACAGTGCACAGCCGAAAATAGTACTGTTCAAATGGTTGTTTACCCCTGCAAGTACAACTAGTGGCTTGCGGTATTTATTTGTTTTGTATGTTGTATCAAACACCAATACATCTCCAAATACACTGAAGTCCACACGAGATTTAGAATCTGCCCAAAACAACCTTGCCAATCTTCCTTCGTTATCTACATGATATTTATAAAAGAACATGTCATCGGCATCCTTCTTCGCTGCCAAGAACCCAAGTGCCCCTTCTGCATCGCCATTAAAAATATCTTTTCTACGTTCCTCGTCCATTCGGTTATACAGATCCTTAATGCAAAATCCCACGTTACTATACCCTCCGGCTTTGATAACAAAATGTTTCATTATCTGGCATATTCTGGCCCCAACCAACTTTAGACTTTTTGCCTGCGCATATTCTGCATCGCTCACTTTTCTATGCGACCTAAGGTGTTGCACACTTGCCTCTGATGTGATTGTGCTCCAAACCACATACTTTACCGATTCTGTGTCATATTTCACGCGAAAGCAAGCCCCACACCCGGTCCTTGTGATTGCTTTTGCTTCTCTTTTCCGGTCTTCATAATTAAACCACTTTTCATTCCTATAACCTTCACAGCAACATACCCATTTTCTAAATCTTGAAATGCCATCTTCATCTCGTTTGGCATTACTTTTACGAATCCCAAATCCGCTTAGTTTCGCATACAAATTATAAAATTCCCCAGCTTCTTCTTCCGTGTCAAATGTTAATTTCATTACGTCATCCACGCCTATTGCGCCCACCAATTCATCTGCCTCCTCATCTTCGTGTCCTCCTATTGAACCACCGCTTTCTTCACTGCATGTGTCTCGGTCACACTCAGGTTCTTGGTTAAGGTCAAATGACATTAACCTGCCGCAACCATCCATCCCCATTTTTCCCTTCTCTATTTCCTGCACCATGTCATGAGTTTTAAGCACCCCATCCTGCCCCATACTTACAACCCCTGTGTGGTTGTTCAATGCTTTTTCTAACCATGGTCGCTTAACATTTTTTTTCAGCCTCCCCATATGCTTTCGTTTGTAACATAAATACTGATCGTCTACTAATGGAACAAAACATATATACACGATCATTTCACTTAACAAACCATACTTTACCTCACAACTTTCACAAAATGCAGACGATAAACATTACTCTAACATTCATATACACAGTTTTTATAAGTGTGGCTGATGCAATTATATCAACCTTTAGCACAAAATACCACTATCGACATGCATTTTCATTAACACCAACAAACTCAACCTCTACTGTGTGTTTCTTTAATTCTTTTCACATAACCATGCGCAATGCAGTATGGGGGCCATTATCGATGTCCACACGGCCATCCAAATCACTCTATTTTAAGACTTTAGTCCTGTTACAACGTCTTCTTCACGTCTTCACTCATTTCTGCTTAATTTCCTTTACACTATTTAATACAAATTAGAGGACCAAGATTTCCTACGTACGTACACAAAGCTCCGTGCACAAATAAACTGCGATAATTTCCCGGTTTCGTTACATCTTCGTTCGAAGACGCAGGGTCTTACACCCCGTACTTCGTATTCCTTATTCCTCTATCATTGCCTCTTACAAGAACTGTAGAAATCACCCTAGTAGACGTACAGGTGTTTTACTCGTTATTTTACTCCATTTTTCAAAGTTATGGAAAAACTCAAAAAAGTACTCACCTTTGATTTCTCTGCTTCTGTTCCACGCCGCTGCATTGTGTCACCACAGCTTCGCAAGGGCCTTCCTCAGATATATCTACCGTCACCGCCTGCGCCTAAATTTACGCCAGTAGACACCACCTCTGTCTATTCCGCCTTGACTTCTTCTTTACCAAATTTTTGCCTTCGATTCCGACGTCACCACCTGTCTTCAAACACACGCATCACTGCGGGCCCCAACATGGCTGTGTGTTTAGTACCTAATACGCTTCCTCTTCGGTGGCCCCAGCATGGCTTTGTTTAGTACTGCTTTCCCAATTTCTTCGATGTTTTATACAACAGAACCGACACCGGCTGTTAATTTTTATGCTTTCCGATCCAAAATTTTGTATTCTACGAAATTGGGTTCTCCTCAACGTCTGATGGACGAAAGCCGCAAACAGCAGGTCGTTTATAAGACAACCGTTTTAACTAAATTTTATCCCATTACCCAACATTTGTATTTAAGGCACGTTGGGTACTCTGTCACTGTAATGGTTGAAAGGCACAAAGAGCTGGTCTTTTACTCACCAACGGGTTTAATTTCTTTTTATCCGATAAATCAGTCTCTCTTTATGCCACCTTCGGTATTATGTTGTTGTGATGGAAGAAAGCCAAGGGGAACTGAAAACTTTTTAAACTTGGACACCCGTTTGAATATAAGATTGACGAATCCAAAATGGATTTAATCTTTAGTTGTAGTGCAGGAAAGCCATAAAGAGTTGGCTATTATTCTAAAATGCATTCCAATATAGGTACTGCGTTGTTATTATGGACGAAAGAGTTGAAAATTGGGGTTGTTTTAATAAAGTTAACCGGTTTTTTTTTACTCCTTACCCCATTATATTTATGTTAATTCCGTTTCACCCCAATACATTTCCAACATTTGCCGTACGCTACATTCACCGCGGTTATAGGTCACCACTTACTTTTTTAGAAACATTCCCTTCATCTCCGTACATGTCAGGTTGCTACGTGCCAGCTTCTTGGCCATATCATTTGCTTTCCACACCTGTCTTTGAAATATGTGAATACACTACAGAATTTACCAGAATTTAGGTAGCTTTAGCTTTTCTTTTTTTCGGCCGAATGGGTCTGACAGAGAAGACTTTTCTTTCCCTTGCTTTTGGCATTTGCGTCTGACTCTTTTGCTTTTCACTTTCGGATCTATTCAATTTCCGTGAGTTTTGGCATTGAACTTGGGGAATCCAGTACGGGCCCCCGCGCAGAGTCAAGCGAGACTTTTCATTTTTCCTTTCTTCAGTGCTTCATCGTTCCAAATTCTGTGATGTTTGCGTGGATGAAATCAATTAAATCGCGTGAGTTTGACATGATGAGAAGCGGCTAATTTTCTCCTCTACCCAAAGGTTGACGCGAGGGCGCGGTCCATAATATCTGTGAGATCTAATCGAATCTTCATTATTTCTCCAATTTATTGCTATTCGTGCGTTTCCTGAATTAATTGTTCATGGGTATTTTATTAATTGAATATCAACGGCCGGGTATTTGATTTAATTTAATAGCCTACTGCCACGTTAATTAAATAGAATCCGTAATTGTTCATTTAATTAACACCCGTGGCAACCACCATAATTGTTTTATGATGGGGAAACCAGGATCTAGTTTAAATAAACCCTCTTATATTGGTTAGGGTTGGGTTCTTCTAACTTTAATGCAATTGGATAATTAAATTCCTACGGTCGTACCTAGGGTTGTTATCTGATTAGGGAAGCAGTCAATGGTCGTATCTTGACTATCGGAAAGGTAAGGAAGAACTGGTTATCAGAGCTTATTGATGGCTATAACCAACCTAGTGATAAATGGATGGAATATCTTTGCATCGATGAGCATTTAATTGGACCGTGCCTGAACAGTTGACCTTTGGGTAGAACTTTTATTAATTGCTATTTTTAGTGAATTGTGCTTTGTGAGTTAGTTTTGAATTTTGTTTGTTTTTTTTATTTTATTTTTATTTGCCTCCCATTGAAAATCCCCCAATTTCGTTCTACTAATTTGGAAAGAAATAATTTCCTACCTGCTCCCTGTGGAATCGACCCTACTTGCCATTGTACGCAAAATTAGTGTTTTATAGACAAATCCGGTATATCGGATCAAGCAAACTCTTCGGGAACAGGGTGAATCAAGTAACCCATTGCACACCTAACGTCCCTGCTCCAGTACTTGGATTTGTTCTATAATTACTTAATTGATGTGGTAATTAGGACTTTTTAGTAATTATTATTGCACAGGTTCGGCACCTGTCAATTTTTGGCGCCGTTGCCGGGGAGCTGGCGTTTGGATTATTTGTTTCTTTTCAAATTCAGTTTTTATTTTTATTTTATTTTATTTTCCTTGGTATTTTTGCTAGTTTATGCCCGTTCTTCTCGCACAGGTGAATTGATATACGACGCGGAGGTTGAGAAAGCAGCGCGTAAGCGGAGGCAAAAGACCAAGAGACGAAAAGAAGGGCACTTATTTATTGCAAACGAGTCAGTAGAAGACGAAATAAGCATGGCCAACACCCAAACATTAAAGGAGCTGGCTGCCCCGGAACTGACTCACCAGCCCTTGTGCATCACGTTCCCCACTTTGGCTGAGAATACGGCTTTCGAACTGAAGTCGGGGTTGATTCACCTCTTACCTTCTTTCCTATGGTCTCTCTGGTGAAGAACCCACAAACACGTCAAGGAGTTCGAGGTGGTGTGCTCTAGTATGAAACCTCCTGGGTCACTGAAGAGCAAATTAGACTGAGAGCCTTCCCTTTTTCCCTCAAGGATGCAGCGAAGGATTGGTTATACTACCTATCCGCAGGTAGTATCACAACATGGGCCCAACTTAAGAAGAAATTTTTGGAAAAATTCTTCCCTGCCTCCCGGGCTGCAAGTCTAAGAAAAGAAATATGTAGTATTAAACAGTATCCCGGGGAGTCCCTATATGATTATTGGGAAAGGTTCAATAAGTTGTGCACTAGATGCCCACAGCATCAAATTAGTGAACAACTATTGATCCAATACTTTTATGAGGGACTACAGACGTCCGACAGGAGTATCATTGATGCAGCAAGTGGGGGAGTATTAGCAAACAAAACACCAAGGGAATCATGGCTACTCATTGAGTCGATGGCAGAAAATTCTCAACAGTTTGGCTTCCGTGAGAGTAACCCTACCCGTAGGGTTAATGAGGTGGAGACGACATCTATTCAGCAACAGTTGTCGGAGCTAACATCCGTTGTTCGACAATTAGCTGTGGGAAATGTGCCCCAAGTAAAAGCCTGTGGAATCTGCACAAATATGGGCCACCCTACTGACTCATGTCTTCTGTTGCAAGAGAATGGGGCTGAACAAGTGAACATGGCTGGAGGCGTGCCCGCGCCTCGTAGACAGTACGATCCATACTCCAACACATATAATCCGGGTTGGAGAGATCACCCCAATTTCAGCTATGGTGATAGGCCACAAAATGCATTCTCTAATCGTCCACCAGGATTTCAGCAACCTTGGCAACAGAAGTCTCAATCCTCGTTCTCCAGCTCAGAAAGTTCTTTGGAGGAAATTGTCAAGAGTTTGGCCACGACCACCACTCAACTCCAGCAAGAGACTAGGTCCTTGCTCGCGAGCACTATTCAGTTCCAACAGGACACCAAAGCAGGCATGAAGGACATGGAGATTCGAATGAGTCAAATGGCAACTGCCATTAACCGCCTGGAGTCCCATGTCTATGGAAAATTGCCATCACAACCCGAGACAAATCCCAACAATGTAAGTGCCATGACATTAAGGAGTGGAAAAGAGGTGGAGGGACCTAAGTTGGTAAATTCGAAGAGCAGAAATGAAGAGGAAATCGAGAAGGAGATTGAAGAGAAAGGACGCATTCGCGAAGAGCCTAAGGTAACATCTATTCCTTCGATCCCTATTACATCTAATCTAGCTCCTTTTCCTTGCAGGTTGGAAAAGACAAAGAGGGCAGAAAAGGAAAAAGAAATCCTGGATGTGTTCCGCAAAGTTCAAGTAAACATCCCCCTATTGGACGCGATCAAACAGGTACCCAAGTACGCAAAGTTCTTGAAAGACTTGTGCGTTAACAAAAGAAAGCTAAGGGGTGATGAAAGAGTGATGGTAGGAGAGAATGTATCAGCTGTACTTCAAAGGAAACTCCCACCCAAATGCGGAGATTCAGGTATGTTTGCTATCCCCTGTAAGATTGGTCATTCTAGTATCAAAAATACCATGATAGATTTAGGGGTTTCTATTAATGTGATGCCTATGTGATGCCTAAATCAATCTATGATTCCTTAAATTTAGGACCTTTAAAAGAAACGGGGATAATAATTCAATTGGCTGATCGTACATGTGTTTATCCGGATGGGATAGTTGAGGATGTTTTAGTGCAAGTAGATGGATTAATTTTTCCTGCTGATTTTTATGTGCTTTACATGGATGATAGAAGTGCCCCAAATCCATCACCCATTATATTAGGAAAACCATTTTTGAGTACTGCCCAAACTAAAATTGATGTTAGTAAGGGTACTCTCACGATGGAATTTGATGGAGAAATAGTCCACTTTAATATTTTTGATACAATGAAACATCCTGTTAACTCTCATTCTGTTTGCTATGTATACCACTAATCCCTCTGTGCAAGAATTTTCTAAATTTTCTTATAGGGGTAAATTCAAGGTTGCTGCGAACAAGTCCTATAGGATGAAAGAAATTCATGAGGTAAAAATGGAGAGAAAATTTAGGAAAAAAGTTGCACTCAATGGCCATGTGGATCCCGGAGGAAAGCCACCAATTACAAGGAAAATTCAATTACATCCAGACTAAAGAGTGGTGCTATGTCTAGCCAAAACATTAAAGAAAAGCGCTGCTTGGGAGGCAACCCAAGGCTTCTTTTGTTTTAGTTTTCTTACATTTTTAAGTTTTTGTTAAGTGTTAGTGTCATTTAGTGGGTTGTTATTTTGTGATAGGAAGTTGGCAGTTAGACATGCCCACGCTAGGTCGTCACACCTAAGGAATGAAGTTTTGGAATTGACGGTCAGAACACTATAACTTTCAAGGCGTGCCCGCGCCTTCCAACCCTTCCGATAACGAAAGTCAAAGAAAAAGAGGGCTTTTGACCAAGACCTTACTTTTCCACTCTTCTCTTGTCTTTGTCCCCCCTATTCCTGTCACTGTCCGTTGGATTGAGCAAGTATTCTTCCAATTTCTCTGTTAGTCTTGATTTCACTTTCTTTCTCCTCTTTTCTTGTTTGTGGAGGCCGCCGCCACCTTCCTCTGCACCGCCCTAGCTTGCCATCGTCCACCAACGCACCAGGCGTGCCTCTGCGCCCTGCCCGTGCACGCGGTCCTCCTCCAGCAGCACGCGGCCTTTCTCTTTGCCTGCATTTAGGCAGAGAATCAGGCGGCCTTCTTCGCTCACATTGGATTCACCCCGCCTCACCTCCTCCGCCTTAGTGTCTCACTTTCCCTCCCCGGTGGTCAGGGAAGTTTCTTTTCTTTTCTCCTAATACTTCATTTGTATTTTCTACATTGAGGACAATGTAGGTTTTAGGTGTGGGGGAGTGGGTTCCATTATTTCTTTTTGCTTTGTTACTCAAAAAAAATGAAAAAAAAAAGAAAACATTGTAGTTTGTTTATTTCTATGCTTGTTAATGTTGGAGCATGTTGCTGTGATAAATGACACAATCAAGGTGTGTGGATATGTGGGTAAATATGCTAGCTGTGCATTCTGTTTTTCTTGGCAATGTCGTTGAGTGTTGAATATGCAGGAATTGACCCATTCTTGTAACTTTTGGGGAGTTTTTGACCCTTGCTTGAGCATATTATTCTTGCTTGCTCTATGTTGTTTGATTGAGTGGTATCACACATGGTATTGACATTCTAGAACTTACTAGTTTATGCATGTCGATGCCACATTTTTGTTGAATTGGATGCATTTGAAATGATAAGGGCATTTAGGATTTAACCCTCTTCAGCTACCTAAAAAAATCAAGCCCTCATCTTATCTCCCAATAGTGAACCAATTTGAGCTTTTATCCTTCGCTTTTGGTTGTTATCCGTGTTTGTTAACCCGAGACCTCTTTAAACTTTCTTGTTTACCCCTGTGTTGTCAAGAGATGTCTGGATTTCATCATTTGAGCAAGGCAAATGAATTTGGAGTTGCAAGTGTTGTTAGATTTGGAGTTATATGATGCTATCCTTGTATAAAGGGGAGAAATTGAAAAAAGGGCCACTGACCAGAAAACTTTGGCTTACAGGGCATGCCCACACCTTGCAGGACTTTCTCCCTTGTAAAAAAAAAAAAAAAAAAACTGAAGAGACCTCGTGACCAGAGGACCATGCCCTACAAGGCGTGCCCACGCCTTGCGGGCAGTTCTCTCCAAAAAAAAAAAAAGGAAAAAATTTTGGGGCACTTGGACAGGGTGTACAACAAATGGAAACTACCTTGTTAGTGAAACTCCTCCGGTAAGCACTGTGGTTATTGGTGAGTTTCGACATTCTCTTGACACTTTACCCCCTATCTATACCTTCTTAACCCGCCTTTCACCTGAGCCCCATTACAACCCTATTAAAGTCCCTTTGATCTATGTGTTTAGTTCACTTTTAAGTGGTGGAGATGTGATAAATGTGCAAGCCTATGGTAATGGCATTCCGTGATGTTGATTTGAGGGTTCCTAGTATTTACATATCTTCTTTGAATTACAACCTGTCCGGTGTGTTCTAATCTCGGCGATATTGTCAGGGACCTTAGATGCTTGTGCTAGTATAGACTATTACATACCCTCTGCTCTCTTAATTGTATTTCTGAGCTCCGGAATGCTTGAGGACAAGCATTGTCGAGGTGTGGGGGGATTTGATAGAGCAGTTATTTGGCACATTTTGCAGTGTTATTTTGTCCTAATTTTGACTATTTACTGTGCTAAGTACTGAGGTTTAACTCATATCTCACATTTGCATGAATTATAGGTGTTCGGCATTAAAAATGATCTCGCGAGGCAAATTTCCAGAAGACTTTTCGTCTCAGAGCGTGACCACGCCACAAAAGGTCTACGCTATCGAAAAGACGGACCGTGGTCCACGTGAACCGCGAGGAGCATGGGATTCAAACTCCAAAAGCTAGCTTTTGTTGCAATCAATTGGGCCAGACGTCTGTTTTCTTCTTGACTTCTCTGCGGCGGCTATAAGAAAGGAAAGAAAGCAAGATTCAAGGCATCATGAAGACCTTAGCTTTTAGTATTTTTTATAATTTCCTTTGACTACTCCTTGTCAGCCGCCATTCTTTGGCTTTTGTTTCTTTCTTATTCGGCAACAATTACAATAGAATTTAGGTAGCTTTAGCTTTTCTTTTTTTCGGCCGAATGGGTCTGACAGAGAAGACTTTTCTTTCCCTTGCTTTTGGCATTTGCGTCTGACTCTTTTGCTTTTCACTTTCGGATCTATTCAATTTCCGTGAGTTTTGGCATTGAACTTGGGGAATCCAGTACGGGCCCCCGCGCAGAGTCAAGCGAGACTTTTCATTTTTCCTTTCTTCAGTGCTTCATCGTTCCAAATTCTGTGATGTTTGCGTGGATGAAATCAATTAAATCGCGTGAGCTTGACATGATGAGAAGCGGCTAATTTTCTCCTCTACCCAAAGGTTGACGCGGGCGCGATCCATAATATCTGTGAGATCTAATCGAATCTTCATTATTTTTCCCAGTTTATTGCTATTCGTGCGTTTCCTGAATTAATTGTTCATGGGTATTTTATTAATTGAATATCAACGGCCGGATATTTGATTTAATTTAATAGCCTACTGCCACGTTAATTAAATAGAATCCGTAATTGTTCATTTAATTAACACCCCGTGGCACCCACCATAATTGGTTTTATGATGGGGAAACACAGGATCTAGTTTAAATAAATCCTCTTAGCGTGTTTATTGGTTAGGGTTGGTTCTTCTAACTTTAATGCAATTGGATAATTAAATTCCTACGGTCGTACCTAGAGTTGTTATCTGATGAGGGAAGCAGTCAATGGTCGTACCTTGACTGTCGGAAAGGTAAGGAAGAACTGGTTGTCCTAGTGATAAATGGATGGAATATCTTTGCATCGATGAGCATTTAATTGGACCGTGCCTGAGCAGTTGATCCTTTGGGTAGAACTTTTATTAATTGCTATTTTTAGTGAATTGTGCTTTGTGAGTTAGTTTTGAATTTTGTTTGTTTTATTTTATTTTATTTTTATTTGTCTCCCATTGAAAATCCCCCAATTTCGTTCTACTAATTTGGAAAGAAATAATTTCCTACCTGCTCCCTGTGGAATCGACCCTACTTGCCATTGTACGCAAAATTAGTGTTTTTATAGACAAATCCGGTATATCGGATCAAGCAAACTCTTCGAGAACAGAGTGAATCAAGTAACCCATTGCACACCTAGGGTCCCTGCTCCAGTACTTGGATTTGTTCTATAATTACTTAATTGATGTGGTAATTAGGACTTTTTAGTAATTATTATTGCACAGGTTCGACACCTGTCACTCACCGATTAAATTAATGATCCAAGTTTCAAAACATAGTTTTTCTTAAAGGAGTGTAGTAAGTTTCGCGGTCCTAGCTAACTTGGGAGTCATACTCGACAAGGACTTGCTTGGGGAAATTTCATGAAAACCCATCTGCTCTTGGTCTACTTTTTGGGCTTGTCCGCTTTTGACCAATTGCTACATATCAGAATCTTTTATGAATGTGTGAAATAATTAAACAAATAGTTCGGCACCAAGGCCCAAACAGAGTTTAGTGGTAGAAAGATTGTTTACCCGTCATCATGAGAAGCCATTTTGAGCTGAGTCCCAAATCTTCCCCCACTCCCATTTCCTGCTTATACAAAACCTGGAGGTTCTATTGAATAATTAAGGATGAAAAATTTTTGTTGAGGAAAATTTAGCATGAAAAGTTAACTTAAAAATTGATTTTGCTAATTTACTTCAACTGTATCTACACTACATATAAAGGGAGATGGAGGGGTTTGGTGTCAACTTTTTGGTGTTACTTTATGTTTTTCTTAAATTATCCTTAAAAACTACTCACTTCCAACTTTTAATATATCCTTCTTCCAATTAATATGTATTTCTTATTATTTTATTTTTCAACTTATTTAATAAACCATAATTTTTATTAGCAGCTATCAATTATGGTTATGGATTATACTAAATAATTATTTGTTTATACATTTTATTTCAGTGAATTTTCTACATATTTACTATTATAACATAAAACTAAATCTCTTGAAAATGATTTAAAAAATTATCAAAAAAATTTGGCACAAATTTCTTTTATTAGTTATACACACATTCGTGTGTATCTTGAACACTAGTGTAGATAAACATTGTGAAAGATTATTAGATTAGAAATGATTGGTCATATTTTCAGTCTTCTTGTGTCTCTACCTTACAATATAAAAAAGATTAATTGCACCAACAATTTAATAATTAAAGTTTGTGTTTGCCTAATCATTTCCTTTAGTGAAAACTCCATGGTTCTATGAAAATCCACATGCTCAAATGAATTGGAGTTTAAATTTCTAGGCACCAAATTTAAGAAAACAATTCCAAACAAGGGTATAGGATATAAGAATCTTCATCTTCAATCACAAATTTTATCGATGCCCTACCTCACCTTCAAGAAATGTACCGATTGTTTATTATGAAATTGATTGTCTGATAATTAATTCTATGTAATGATAACCAGAAAAACATTTAAAACCAACTTTTTCATTTTTCCTCCCTCCCACTCTCTTCCCCCCCCCCCCCCCAACAAAAAAAAGACAAAAAGAATCCCCCAGAACCGTGCACTTTTTGTTTAACTTTTTTACTGTTCCTCTTTTTGATATCACCAATTTAAGTTAGAGAACAAGATTGTAATGACTAATGAGTATCATTTAAGAAGGAAAACAAAGCAATCTTATCATTATAGATCCCAGGTAGTTCCATATATAATGAGAATTATTTCAGCTGTACTTCTCAGTTCCCAAAAAATTGTTGCTGCATCATGTCGAATAAAGTAGCAAGAGCAGGAAATACTTGAAGTCAAGAAAAATTAGAGGATTAAAGGTATAATCCAACCCTAACTTGTTTATGTGTCCAACACTAACTGATAATTTGTTATATACTAGGAAATAAGGATACACAATACTTAGTCCCCTAAGTTGATGAAATCCTGCTGGAGGCCTGCCTTGAATAGGATATTATGACTAATAGCAACTTCAATTAGAAATCTGAAGACTTTAATCCCCAAAATCAAGCTCAGTCTAAGAATTACAATCACCGCCATACCAATAAATGACTAAAAGTCCAAAAGTTAAGATTTCATGGAATTATGACCAAGTTAATTAAATCTTCATTGTGACAAAATTCAAAACGAAAAGATGAAACAAAAGCAAAACGAGCATAGAAGATTTACACCGCACCAAATTATGGT